TCATGTCGACTCGGAAGATGGAGCCAAGCGACAAAAAATGGAGCTAATTACGTTTACACCGGACGATCTACTCGCCGATGCAAACCAGAGTACTGAGGCTCTTGTCGTTACTGTTGATATCATAGGGGTAGATGTTCAACGAGTTATGATAGACACCTGGAGCAGTGTGAATGTCCTCTATCTGGAAGTCTTCCAAAAGCTCAAGCTTGATCCCATTGAACTCACTCCGATTGGAACTCCTCTGTCCAACTTCACGGGAGACACAGTTCAACCGGAAGGAAATATAAGTTTACCTGTGGAGTTGGGCACCCCACCCCGAGCGATAAAGGTGATGATGGAGTTCCTGGTCGTAAATCTGCGATGTGTTCCATAATGCCATCTTGGGACGACCGACCATCGCGATGATTGGCGGCATCATCTGTATGCCACATCTTTGCATGAAATTCCCAACCCCGACGAGTGTTGGGGTCTTACGAGGAAATGCCCGATCAGCAAGAAAATGTCACCTTCAAGCGGTCAACAGACGAGAGGCTAGGAGTTCTAGGGTGAACACAATCTCTAAGCGAAGTGATGAGGGTAAGAAGGAACAACCCGAGCCGTATGATGAAATAGAAGAGATACCATTGCATGAATCCCGACTTGATTGGAAAATTAAGCCGTATGAACCAAATTCTCTCTCTCTCTCTCTCTCTCTCTCTCTATATATATATATATATATATATATATATATATATATATATATATATATATATATATATATAGTAAAATAAGTATTTGTACGTAGTTTCTATAACTTTTATTAACTTTTTTTTTAAGGTGGGTCGGGTGGTGAATGTAGCGTTCCTCAACCCACTCCCAATCCATTGTCATCTCTACTTAAAATCGAAAGAGAGATAAAAGATATTGTATACTTTTTTTGTCAAATGCATTGAGTAGGGTGTTAGTTATATGTCAAACCTAGTCATTAGATGGGGGATTGGGGGCACAGTGTGCCATATTGGTGTGGATTAACACATAATTGGTGTGAAAATTAAAAACTTTTTAGTAGTAGGATCTTCATTAAGAAAATTATTTACATAGTTTTAAAAGTAGGATTATGATCTATATTCAAATTCTTATACTATTAGCCATAATGTACATAGTTTTAAGTATATTAATATACTAGTAATATTTATAGTGTACGTAATTGTCATAATGAGTGTGTTGATAGAAGGTAATGTTCGTGTTCCTTGGCTAGTTGTGACTAATATTATCCCTCTTATTTCGTCTTTTTATATATCATCATAATATATATAGTGATATTTCTATTCCAATTATTACATTTATCGTTTTCTCATTATATTGCTCTTCTACCTTTTTTTTTTTGGGTCCAAAAAGACCATGGCAAAATAATATAACCAAAAACAAAGTGACAAAGGAGTAAGGAAATATGAAACAAAAGAACGTCGCAGTTCACTGCATGCAGTTAATTTGCCCAAATGAGCCAAAGAAAGGTATAAAGTGTGTTTGTTAACTGAGGATTTATTTTATTTTATTTTTTTCGGAGAATTGAAGAATTAGAAAATTAACGTGAATGTTACCTATGACTATTATGATTTGAGAAAAAAATTGAGATTTACATAATACATTCACCTCAAGAGTATTCGCTTTTATTTAATCATATTTGAATGTAAAATTTTTTACTCGTGATAAGTGATGTATGGAGACTTATGATTATACTCTTCATTCCACTTGACCAATCCCTCTATATATATATTTTGATTTATTATTTATAATTTTGCACATGTATACAATAGTCCTATTAATTTGAATATTAAGGCAATGACCTTGTTTAGTAAAATAGTTAGCATATTAGTCAATTTTGACTTATTTGACCACGGTTAATTGTTTGACTTGGTTAAAAAATCAATATAAGTGTTTGGTTAATTAGCTTTGTGTAACTCTAAAATACTAATTTTAAAATTCAAAAAGCTGCTCAAAACAGCTTTTTTAATTAGCTTTTTGAGAAAAGAAATTATACCAAACAGCTATCAACTAACAGCTAATTTACCAAACACTTTCTACAATCAACTAATGTTATCAACTAGTTATACTCTCTAATTAACCCAATCAACTAACAGCTAACAACTATCAGTCATTTACCAAACAGGGTCAATATCATGTTACTTCGTATATGATAAGAACATATGAAAAAATAAAAAATTATATACAGTATATAGCATAATTTGTGAATATTGGCTAAATTTGTATGTAGAATATTATAAATGTTAAAAAAATTTATATTCAAAAAAATATTTTATTAAATTTAACATATAGCAAATACTTATAAGATGGAGCCACTGTGGGGGCAGTTTCTCTCTTTGTGCTGCAGCAGTATGTTGAGAAAGTAATTATGAACAGATACTACATTGTAACAGAGTCAGTAGAGATGGTGAATAATGTAGGTATTTTCAACCTGAATCTATCTAATTTTTATCTCTATCAAAATGAATGTTGTTTAATAATAATGTGATGTGTTTTAATTTGTTGATAATTAAATTAAGATCTAATATAATAGCTATCCATTGAAAACACGCCAAGTTAAAAGGAAAATTGCTTCGGTTGTAGTATATGTATTACTTAATATTTGGGTTTAGGGTGAGATTCCAATCCTTGTAATTAACTCGATCTGCCATCTGCAACACAATCAGTGATTAGTCCGAAAATTAAGTGTTACCAAACTATAAAATGAAAGAGCAGGAATTGAAGTAGGTAGGTAGGATTAGTATATATTCCTATCCTAGGATACCCTCCTTAGGGAATACAAACATGTCTCAAGGCATTGGTCCATATCCATTCCCCCTTTTCTATTACAGACAATGAAACTAACACATGTTAATTTGGATTTATTATTGTAAGATCAAATCTGTATCATATCAAATTATACAATCATTCTACCCATTACTCTTTCTCAACTTTGTGTTTTATTACGTGCTTGCATCAATGTCCCAATTTTTTTTTAAAAAAATTTGGGTTGAATTTTAGCATATACTATAATTAATTTAAGGATAATTGCTAAATAAGCCTTCAAACTATATTGATTTGTGTAAGAAGGTGGGACAACCATGGCTGCCTCCCCCTTCATCCACTGTAGACGAATGACTACCTCCATCTTCTTCTGAAATTTTTTGTTAAAAATTTGATTTTATTCTTTTAATTTTTAAAAATAATGATTAAAATAATTTTTTTTATATATAATTTGACATTATGACATCATATTTAAGAGAAACTTGAAAGTAACCTGTAAAAAATATTATTTACACAATTTTTAAATTTTTAATGGTCCAATTGCACACTTTTTCGTTTGATCGCTCAATTGCACAATGTGTAAAAGTCTAATGGTCTAGTTAACACTTTTTTTCAAAAATAATATTGCAATATAACTTTTAATTTACCTTCTATGTAATAGTCTTGAAATAATATGCTCAAAACACTTAGGTATAGAAACATGTCATACACTCATACCCACATAGCCACATGAGGCATATATGAGTTATATATTTTAAGTTTGGCGTGAGTGAAATTAGAACCTAAAAATTATATAAAAATGTGTTAATATAACCCATTACAACTTTTACATTGTGCTATTGTACTTACTTTTCTATACACTTTGTATATTATTTATTTATCCCTCCAAATTAATAATAACATTAAATATACGGAGTAATAATTTGTACAATATATTTTTTTGGGCGCATTTCTCCTTTATTCAATACAATGATTATTCCTACATAGAGTGGGCAATTTGATTCAATTTTTTCAAACCAAACTAGTTCGATTTAGTAATATACCAAACAATAAAAGTTCGGTAAAATAAATTAAACTGAACCGAATACCGTTTAATTTTAATAATAATAATAATAACAACAACAACGACAACGACAACAACAACAACAACAACAATAATAATAATAAAAGAGTAAATCCAAGTCCCTTGTTGTCTGCTCCGACTTTCAACTCCTATTCTCACTATAGTATTTCTCTTGAATTTTTTATTTAATTTCTTTATGGCTCGTTCTCTACTTTACACGTTTGTTGTTTGCCGCAATTGTTCTTTGCATCTCAATTATATCTAACTTGGGTTATTCTTACAATATTCAGTATTTCCCTTAGTTTCAAGTTTCATGTTTCTATGAAATTAATGTGCGTCAACATCATTTTAGTTTTGATTTCCAGTGCACTGAAAAATAATATTCCAATGCATTGAAATTATTTTCTAGTGCATTGGAAATATATTTTGCCAAGCAATGACGAATTGTGTCAAAAAAATTAACGATAGAGTATTTGACACTTGTTCTCCTAATATTAACTATACAGATAGATAATTCTTCATCTTGTCAACAAAACATTCCAAGTGAGTCAACTGAAGAGTCAGTTGGGCAAAAAAACCAACTGATGTATGGTAATTAGTACTTAGTAGTATGTTTGAACTTTGAATTGCTATTTTGTTATATAAAGCCAATATGTATTGTTTGGTAGTGTGTTTGGAAAATTAGAAAATATTATTCCGTAAAAATTGTGGTTCTTAAATCGAACCGAACTAATTTCGAATTGAAACCAAACTTTTTCAAACTTAACCAAAACTATACCGAACGCTAATATTAAACTGAATGGTATCATTTTTTTTAATACCGGAATCGAAAAAAATCGAACCGAATCCCAAAACACCCACCCTTATCCTTGCGTACCAAAAAAAAAATACAATTATTAATTTTCTCTCACTATAATTTTATTATAGATATGTTGTTTTCATATGTATCCAAAATCAAAGGCGGAGGAAAAGGACACCTGAAAATGAATGTTCTCCTTCCATCCACTTTACTTCATTTATTAAATGAACAGCGGGGGAGAGGGAGATGAACATGAGAAAAGGGGCAGTTACGGTTACCACTTACCAGGGGCACTCCCGTCATTTCCACCCGTCATGTCATCCCTTTGAAAAACTCGCCATTTTTTTTCCTTCTTTTAACATTCTCCATGGAAACCACTCCCACTCTCCATCTCTCTCTCCCCAACTGTTTCTACTATCTCTAACCAACTTTTCATTCCAAAACTTGCATTTCAATTCCCAATACCCATAAATTGCTCATTCCTTTGCTCTGCTCTTCCATTCACACAGTTGGGGTATTCTTCTTTCATCACTTGCTCTCATCATTAAGTCCTTTTTTTCTGAAGAAAAAAAAATGTGGGTTCTTGGAGAAATTGCATGAGATACTGTTGTGTTCTTGACTTGATGCTGTTGTTTTGCTATAGCGATCATTTCCCATTTATTGTTTTTTATTGGATTTTGTTGGATCTCTGTGTTTTGCTTGTCTCTGTGCTCTACTTCATGTTCTTGATTGCTTCCTCTGTTTGGTTGTTCTTGGAGCATTCTACTTTCTGGTATCTTTGTGTTTCTTGGCTGAATAGTTTCAACTCCCTTTATGGAGCATCCAGTTTTCTTTCCTTTTAAGACCTTTTTTTTCTGTTTTTAATGATGTAGGGCTTTAATCTAGTAAACTTTTCATGTTGTGGAAGTGGTAGGATATTGAAATTGTGAAACTTATTTGGATATCTGTGGTGTTTTTGTGTAGAATGGAGTCTGGAAATGGTGTTGTGGCTGAAGAGGAAAGGAATGGTGTGATTGAGGAAGATAATGGGGGAGTTAAGAAAGAGGAGATTGTGGGTGAGAATGAGGAAAAGGTGGATGAAATGCCTAATAATTCATCTTCACTTGAATGTAAACCTTCAACCCATAGTAAATCATCTGGGAAAGTTACTCCAAAGACTCATGGAGTGGCCAAGAATCAGGCTAGGACAAAGAGGGCTAGCCTGACTCATAGTGCCTCTTTCCCCGCGAAAAGCGTTAATTCGGGTGTGAAGAGTGTTCATGCCAGTAAAAATGGCAGAAGAACATCTTTAACACCTCCCCAGAATCAGTCTGACAAGTCCCTTTCTGCTAATGGAACTGAGGGATTGGAAGGGTAAGTGGATATCTTATCTTTCTTACATTTTCTCCATGTCAGATACTATTAGGATTTCCCTTGCCAACCTAATTGTGGTATGTATTTGCAGAACAACTGATGAAAACTTCAAACCTATTACAAATGTTCTCCTTATTAAGGAGGAAGAGGATGCTCATTCCACAACTTCATCGTACTGTTATCTTCTTAGAATTATAAATTCGTTATCTGTCTCTTTCGTTATTAGCCTTGTCGTTCGTTGTTCTAAAACTTCATTATTTTGTACTGTCGTTTGCCTTTCGTATTGTCATCAGCAATGCCACTCCTCAAGGGCAGCGGAGGATTAGTGGTGGTTTTGGATTTTCCTTCAGATTGGAACAGCGTGCTGAGAAAAGGAAAGAGGTTGATAGAATTCTACCGTTTCGCTGATATGGTTTCGTGCATAGATCTTCGTTCTAAGCTGCTCTATTTTGTTTCAGTTCTTCTCAAAGCTAGAGGAGAAGATTCAAGCTAGGGAAGTCGAAAAGAACAACTTGCAAGCGAAATCCAAAGTTGTTTAATTTACATGCATTTTTAACTTCGAGTTTAAGTTTTAATCCTTAGCTTTAATTTAACCTAAGGCACTCTTCTACTTGCATTTTTGTGTTTTGATACAGGAAAGCCAAGAAGCTGAGATAAAGAAGCTAAGAAAGACATTGACTTTTAAAGCTACACCTATGCCAAGCTTCTACAAGGAACCTCCTCCAAAAGTTGAACTCAAGAAGGTAAGAACTATCTGTCTAACAACTTCTAGTTATTCAGTCCAGTCAGACCACTTAATAAGCCTAGTCCACTTGCACCACTAAATTAAGGCCTCTGAATGTGATGTTTATGGTGTTTGAAAATTCTACAGATACCGATAACTCGTGCTATATCTCCCAAACTCGGGAGGAACAAAACCTCTGCATCAATAGCAGCCAGTTCTGAGAGTGCAGAATCTTGTCTTAGCCCCAAGGTTGTTAAAGAACAAGGAAAGTCTCCCCGGGCGTTGCCAGCAAACCGAAAAAAGACTAGCCCCGCCCCCGCCTCAAAAGCGACAACGAAAAGTCCCTCTCAGCAATCATCAGAGACCAAAACTGAAGAGAACAACGCGATGCCTGTAGAGACAAAGCCCAAAGCAGAGGAAACAGATGAGAAAAGTTGTGCAGAAACTGAAACCAAGAATCAAACTGAAGAGCATTGGGGTGAAGAGGAGGTGCAATGTGTTTCCACTTCAAATACAGTGGTGATGCCAGCTCAAGTCTCGGTTGAAGGTTAAAGAAGAGGAGTTAAAAGTTCCCACATTTTCCACTGTACTTATATATAATATATATATATTATCTATAGGTTTTTGAAAAGGTTAATATTTTCCACTTAGTTGGGAATATCAAATATGGTGTCTGTGCTTTCCTCCACCTTGAATGACTCACAAGTTGTTCTTCTGCTATATATAATATATTGTCATTCTTTTGGGAAAAGAAATAAAGACTCGCGGCATAAACTGTGTGATTTTACAACTACCTTCCTCATATAACAAACTGTTTTTGGCAATCGTTATATCCTACACCACGGCGCACATAGCACTGTGCGCCGCGCGCCTCCCAAAACGACGTCGTTTTGGGGTAGTGTTGGGAGGCGCGGTAGGAAGTTGCTGAGATTATGTGTATTTGTTCACAACGTTATATGTATTGGTTCATACAGTTATGTGTATTTTTTATACAATTATGTACATTCTTTTTATACAATTATGTATATCCGAATCAGAAAATTTGTGTGTATTATGTTAAGAGTTGATGTATATTATGTTAAAAGTTTATGTTTATTATGTATTATGTTAGATTATGTGTATTATCTTTTAAAAAGAGTATGTATATTTTGTTATATAATTATGTACATTCATGTATAACATTATGTGTATTCTAGTATAACATTATGTACATTCCTGAACAGCGGGTTTTTTTTTAAAGAAAAACTACTGTCATTCACTGGGGCGGGAAATTTCAAAAAAAAAAATAATTAAAACGACGTCGTTTTGCATCTGGGCTCATAGTACAACGCGCGCCGTGGTGTAGGATATAAATTGCCTGTTTTTGGATTGCCAAACTTTTGCCTATTCAATATGGAGATTTGGCCCAACTTGAAGTTAGCTAGAATGCTTTGACCCAACTCACCTAAGTACCAGCAACTATATGGTGGACCATGGTCCAAAAACAATGACGTTTCTTTAAGTAAAGAAACGGCTACCATTATAGCTTAACGGAGCCCGTATTTTGTGTGTGTTAATTACAAAATGAAACTACAGTGTATCTAAAATGAAACTGTCTCACATATTGTTTTTATATTATCAAATGAAACTGTAGTTGAATTGAAATGAAACTGTAGTTGTGTTGAAATGAAAGTGTAGTGTATATAAAATGAAACTGAATAACAGTTTAACATATTTGAGTATATATTGTCCAATGAAACTGTAGTTATATCGAAATGATATTGTAGTTGTGTTGTAATGAAACTATAGTGTATATAAAATGAAACTGAATAACAGTTTCACATATTTGAGTATGTCGAATTAAACTGTAGTTATATCGAAATGAAACTGTAGTTGTGTTGAAATGAAACTGCCGTGTATATAAAATGAAACTGAATATGTTATACAAACAGAGCTACTTTATACGGAACGGGTGCTGTTTCTTTTCATTAAAAGAAGCGGCGTTGTTTTGGACCGCGATCCACGGTATAATTTGCCACCTAGGTACATGGGGCAAATTGTATCCAACACCAAGATGAATCACTGATACATGTTTATTTTTAACATATTATTAGTTTATTTTCAAGTGTATTACATGTTTATTTTTAGGTAATATACTAAAAAGAACTTATATCGCCAACTATCATGTAGTATCATGTAGTTTGTCATAGGTTCAAACTTGGAGGTGGGGACTTAGATTCTTTTGGGTTGAAAATTTACTTTTAAGAAAGTATAAAACATATACTACCTTGTAAAGATTACGAGCAGTCGTTATATTGTGCACCAGGGTACACAATGCATTGTGCGCCCCGCCTTATCCAAAACGACGTCGTTTTGGTGCATTGTCCAAAAAAAAAAAAAAAAATTCTCTGTTTCGAATACACATAAACTCATAACAAAATACATAGAAACTCATAACAGAATACACAGAAACTCATAACTGAATACACATAATCTAACATGATACATAATACACAAAAACTCTTAACTGAATACACAAATTTTTAACTGAATACAAAGAAACTCTTAACTGAATACACAGAAATTCTTAACTGACTACACAGAAAATCTTAACTGAATACACAAAAACTCATAACGCAATACACAGAAACTTTTAACTGAATACACATAATGGGGTTTGGGCCGTTTGGACAGACGGAGTGACGTCAGCAATTGAAACGTGTGTGTTTTGCGCCTGGGCGCATATTGCTATGTGCGTCGTGGTGCACGATATAAATTGCCGAATACGAGTATTTACAAACAAACAAAAAAACGTGTCTCAAATTATAATAAAATTATTAAAAAATAAAAATAGAGAAAAGGGTTAGGCCCCTTAAACTTTACCCCAAAAGTCAATTAGACCCCTAAATTTTAAAAAAGTGCAATTAAATTCTTAAACATGTCATATTAGGTCAATGAAACCTAAAAATCGGTAAATGACCCCTTATTACAGGTCATTTCAATTCCGGCGGCTGGCGACAGCTTTGTCGTCGCCGGTCACCTTGTATTGGTGAAGGCGACCAGTTGGCCGCCTTCTCCGGCGCCGGTCGCCACAATTGAAATGACCTGTAATAATAAGTCATTTACCAGTTTTTGGGATTCATTGACCCAATTTGACATGTTTAAGAGTTTAATTGCACTTTTTTAAAGTTTAGGACCTAATTGACTTTTGGGGTAAAGTTTAGGGACCTATTTGACTATTTTTCTCTTAAAAATAAACATGGAAAGCAATAAAAATGAGCATGCAATATGCTAAAAATAAATATGTAAATCAATAACTTTTCTTTTAATATGGACCATGACTCACAGTATCACGATTAGGTAGTATAAGGCATGTATGGGCAGCTCAGTTGGTCACGTGCGTAAAGTTTAGAAACAATAATTCGGTATCAAGTCTCATCAGCTACAGTGTGGAAGTAACCTCTCAAAGTGATAGGGGTTACTTGTACACAATATACAAATGTTTAGCCTTTATGTTTAACTGAATTAACATGATTTACACCCTTCCAAATACTCTGTTGGATCAAAGAATGTGTAACGCTTACGATTTGAGATTCAACTTTTTCGGGAACCACGATTAGGTAGTATAAACTCTAAGGGGTCGTTTGGTTCACGGAATGTCAGATTACCTTAGGGAATGTTAGATTGCTGGGAATATTAGATTACTGGGAATGTTAGATTCCTGTGTTTGGTTAAAATTGGGGTATGTAATATAATCATGTTTGGTTTAGGGTTATCTTTTATACACACTATAATATCCTTAAGATAACCAAGGTTATCTTACATTACCTAAGATTTTGAAGGGAATCACATTCCCTTCAAAATCCTATGTGGAGGGAATGTGACATTCCTTGAGAATGTTAGATTCCCTGAGATAATATGAACCAAACACCGGAATGTGAGCTTTGAAATGTCACATTCCCTTGGTTATGTTATATAACCTGAACCAAACGCCCCCTAAAGATTAAAAAGTAATGATTATGAAATGTGATTGTCAAGTCTAGGAGGGTTGGATCGGTTACCACGCACGGTGTTATGATTTGTCAATACACCTGGCCACGTCTTGTCCGTAACGACATGTCATATTTATGTTTGGTCTATTATAAATGTTAGTCCACATATTAAGATCTTAGCTCCCTTGCCATAACCTAACAACTAGTAACAACCACACTCTCCTTGTAAAAGCACTTTTAAAATAATATAAGCAAAGGCCCTACGTCATTATTATATTTCCTTATTTATTCTCTTATCCTAGTTTGAATTAGAATAATCAAACATGCAAAAATAAAATTCTCTTGGTACTTGTGGATGAAATATTGATAGAGAGACACTATACGTACTAGAGAATATTGCCTTGTTTTGTAGAGTATGGTATTATAGATTCTCAAAGGAAATTTGTTCCATCGAGAGTAGTATATTTTTAATGAGAGTAAAATATTGTGGTTAACCTTCTGGCCAATTCGGACATCTACAAAGATAAAAAACTTATTAAGTTTGAAGAATTTCCAGAGACCATCAAATTAAGATATCCTTCACAATGATATGCGAGAGTGGCGAGAATGTGAAGAACTTTTATGCATAGTTATTAGAGCGACCTATGATACCCCTCCCCACAATCCAAAAAAAAAAAAAACCAAAAAACAAAAAAAGAGAGAGAGAGAGAGATTTGTCCCATCATTAAAACTATTATATACTAAATGATATGATTTTGTAAGGGAATTAATTAACAAATTCAATTAAGTAATTAGTAAAATATTGGGGTAGAGAGAGTTTGGAAGTTTCCGGGGTAGATCATAGATGAATGGGTATGGAGGTTGTAATGTTCAATCAAATAATAATAATAATAATAATAATAATAATAATAATAATAATAATAATATTATTATTATTATTATTATTATTATTATTATTATTATTATTATTATTATTATTATTATTATTATTATTATTGTTATTATAGTGACAAGAGAACACACAACCACTATTCAATAATGTGTGCTATTGAGTTCACTTAAATATATAATATATATAAATGTGCAATTCAACTATCAATTTGAACTTTTAATTTAGATGGAGCACATCTTTCAATTTGGTTAGGTGCTATGGTTCACATGTTATTTAGAACCCGTCAAAAAATAACAAGTACGGTTGTACACACATGAAGGGTATATGTTGATTGTTGTGCATAGAATATATAAATATTGACAGGATAATAGGGCTGGCACCCGACCCGGATCACAAATGAGCATCTGACTCAGCATCACATGGGAACCCAACGGGCAGAACTCCAACGGTTAGAATCCAACAGGTGTCACATTTATTGTCATTGAAGCCACCTTTGATGCCACCATTGATGAGAGAGAGTTAAAGCCTCAACGCCTCATTCATGACTCTTCATATTCTTGCCGTTAGCTCAGCTCCGCAAGGATGTCTCTTCATGTTGTTACCGTTAGGACCTAGCATAAATAGAACTTCCCTCAGCTGAGCAGAGGACACACTGTACTTTCTATACTGAGACAAAAGCAATACAAGTACTGTTACTCTCTTATAGCGTTGTTATATTATTATTACCGGTAACGTTATTACCGTCATTGGTGCTTTCATTGAGAGCCTGAGTCCAACACTCAAGCAGGCAACGACACAACTCACTCCTCTTTCAACAGCAAGTTTGAAAGAATGGTGTCCCACAGCTCCCACGGTTCTCGCAACGTGAACAATGGCAATGCCTCAAGTGACCTCCGGGACCAACTCACCAACAATCGCGGAGGGGAC